GGAATTTCTTTTTCCCTTCTTGCCAGTTAATGATCCTGCTGCTGTCTGTGCAGCACTGGTCTGTCATCCTCTTGTGGGAGTTTTCAACTTACGCCAGATCTTCCCTCCCTCAAACGGCTGCTCACCCTATTCACAAACTCCCATGGGTGAGGCAGGAGGAAAAAATCCTTGAGAAGGGATACTGTTTGATCTGATACAGCCTTGTTTATGGCTATATATTCCCTCTACTTGGCAAAATGTTGTGCAAGTATACAGCTTTACCTGCTCCAGTGCACTGACCCTATAGCATAGTTTATTCATGACTTCCTGCGCTGTGCAGCCAGCATACCTAAAGTACACTATTTCATCTGATAAAGAGGATACTCACACTTTGCCACAGAAAGAAGTGAACCAGCCTGTATTAACTATGGTATAGACCCTTTATTAGTTCAACTTTTATACAAAGCGTACTTCAAAGTGATACAAATAATGTTACTGTTTCTTTTACAGACTAGAGATTAAGGTCTGTTAAGCACTGGTTTATCCTTCTTGTGTATATAAAGATAGAAAATGTAAATAGATTGGCAGTGAACCATAATGCTGGAAGACAGTTCAATGTTTATTTATTAATAGAAAGTTGCATAGAATTGTAGGTCTTTATAAAGGCATCTATCTATGTGGTAAAATCTCCCTGACCTACCATACTTCATCCGATAAGCAGTACGGGAGAAAGGCAAGGTTTGTACTGCTCCTTTTAAATACCATCCAGCACTCTTAGGGGAAAGGGCCGTAAGAAAAGCACCGTGCCAGAAACATCTGAGAGGACAGCACTCGGATAACTTAATTTGCAAGGCTACCCATTTCTGTAGCTCTTAGGAGCTGTTTGCTACCTGGGATCTATTAAAACATTAAACTTCTCAAAAACACCTAAGAACATTTGAGATAAAAACACTTTTGGCCAGTCAAAATACTTCACTATATTAGGTATTTTGCTTGACTGTGTAATTCCATTCCCTTCTGTGCTGACAAGAAACTCTTGTACATATGTGCTGTTAAATTAATTTATCTCATATGAGACTGTTAATCTCGTACTAGAATCATACTAATTAAAAACCACCAACTGAATTAGGAAGTCCAGCAAAATTCTTCCCTGCCACTCCTGCACCTGACTCAGACACATGGTTCTCAGTTCCATGCCTTTTGTTGAATCTCATCTAAACCTACCAGAAGCTCTCCCCAAAATTACTGTTCCTGTTCCAGATAAAGTAACCCCAGCAGCAATGGTCCACACCGGCCCAGACCACCGGCAATTTTTTGCTTTGGGAGGAGTGGAGGAGAACAGGGAACGCAGCTTTAATGCTGAAGGAAACAGAGGAAACAGTATTTTGTCTTGAATTTGACTTCTTAAGTGGAGAAGTCAGTCGAGGGAACTAGTTTAAATGTATTTGTAATTGACCTCTTGGGTCTTCAGAGTTAATATATAAGTGTTGATTTTCTTTCAAAGACAAATTTATCACTCACTTTAAAATATTAATTTCTCTAGTGTTATTCTTTTCCACTCCAGTGTAATGCAGGATAAGGATTTGCTCAACTCCTTGTAATACCTTGTAATCTCACATACATTACTTAACAGCCTGCTCTCTGTGAGTTCTGTTCGCAAATCTCCCAGTTTTGGTACTATTACATTTAGTACCCACTTACTTGTGGCTAAAGATTTAATCTCCTTTTAGTTCTAATGCTGTGTTAATTGTAGCAGTTTACACTGGTAAGCTAGCTGGTGCACAGGCTGGTGCAGCTGCATCACTGCTCTCGGGCCGAGGGAAGACAGTTGGACCGCACTTACTCTTTCTCTCCACTCCCCCTGCTCCAGTCTTTGCTCTCCCTTTTCTAGCTGCAAAGTGCTATTAGAAGCAACTAAAAATACAACAACTGCTTGCACAGGTACTGGTCCACCTGAGTAACCAACCCTTCCACTTGCACTCAGCACTATTCCACCTGTGAGGAAATGGAATTGATCGAAGTGTGATTTAGCATGAGATTACTAATACCAGTAATTCAGTGCTGGAACCCTCCCATAATGCACTTTTAGCAGTATCTCTCATATAATCCTAAGATATGATCATGACTAGGGAAGTACCATTTCCAAGTGAACGTCTTCTCTTACACCAAGTCTACTACAATATTTGGACCCTTAGTTTTTATAAAAAGGATTAACAGACTATTTGAAAGAAAGAAAAAAATTCCTCGCTTCTGCCAGCTGTTATTAAGAGCTGTGTAATATATGAGACTGGAAAAGCTAAAACTAGACAAAATATTAACATAATGGGCTATTTAATTTCAGCCTAGTTAATTTTAAGACAGGTAAAATGATGACCATACTTAAGCATATGCCACCCTGTGAGTGGTTCATTAGCAGAGGAAAATCTTAAGTGCAGAACAGTTATCAACACTGAGGAATGGGATTAAGCCTAAAGTAACTGGAGGGATCTGATGCTATTAGCTAGTACGTGCCCATTTAAAATGTCTCTGCAAGTGCTTCTTCGCTGCTAAAGGAAACCCAAGCTGACAGGTCATTCCAGCAGCAGGTGGGCCCAAAGCGTTGCTACACTTCGACACTGGAAGTTCAGACTCTCCAGAGCTGGCAACTAGAAGCTACACAGATTGTGCAGCGGAAAGTCCTTCCTTACCACCTAGGACACATTTTCTCATGCAGTTTCATGTCTGTCACTTAGGGGACAGACAGCAGACCAAATGCTAAGTAAATACCAAATAAACCTTATTTCCTATACTAGAAGGAATTTAGTCATAAATAAGTAGGTGGAATTCCTAAAACAAACAAATGCAAAGATCCCAGAACGGAGAAAGCACAGAGCTAATAACTTGGTTTTTTTCTGTGGTCAGAACAGAAAAGATTGGGTGATCATTACTGCCCTCCAACTTGGGAAAGATGATCCAGCTCATCTGAGTTCTATAGGATTTTGAAGGAATTTTTTCTTTCACATTAAGCGAAGTAGATAAAGTCACACCACAGAACCACACAGTTACAGTACACAGAAAAGCACACCCTGAAAATATATTGATTCTAATAGCATGAAATCTGGTGTTGCCAAGAAGCTTCAAAATTAGCGTGAATGCTGAAATAGACACAGACCACAGACACTAACAGCTTGCTTATTTAGAACACAAGATAATAAAAATAATTCTTACTTTTTACCTACAGCTTTAATATGCACACTGATGTATGTGAATTGACCACTGAATGTTTAGTGTGAATGAAGGTCTTCCCAAATTATAGCTACTGTTTTACTGTTTCAGATTGTTAAACATGGCTGCTTAAGAGATATGCTATGTCATGAGTTGGTGAGACTGCTATAGTGACCTAAATACTGTCAATGATTGTAATTTAGTCTAGACTCTAAGTACTGAAAAGAAGTAAATATTTGGACATAACTATGAATGTTTTCTTTCAGAAAAAAAAACCCACCAAACTTTTACAGAAGAGTTATTTCTGTCAGTTTTTAAATGCACAAGACCTGAACATGTGCACGTCTGCTTCAGTGGTACTAATGAAACAGCAAGTTAGAAGGATTTATTAATGCCTGAAATAAAGACAGCTCTGACCGCAAGTCTTCATAATGTAGTGTATGTGCTAAAGAAGGTTGCTGCCTCTCTCTTTGGTTATGCTGTTAGCCATAAAAGCATTGCTCTAAGTGACAGCAAGGCATGCACAGTAATGTATTTGCTTTCTAAACTATAAAATTAGCTTATTCAGATTGTTGCACCTGCACACATTTTCCTGAAAGTTCAAAACTGATTTAGCACATTCAGTAAACAGGAGGCCAAGTTTTCCCCTAGTTACTCCACTGAAGAGCTGCAACAGAGGACAGAATATGGCTTAATTATAGCACTGAAAACAACATGAACAGGCTGTGTGAGAAGTCTGGAGAAAAGTCTTTGAACTGTACAGATTTCTCATGCAGTTCTTACAGATAAATGCCCCCTTGATTCAGTATTTGTGGGTCTGTTAAAAAATCCTAGCTCTTACACTGTTGCAAACTTGAGTACTAACAAAGACGTCCGATGTCCAAGTGACTGTGCAAATATTCATCTGTTGTGGATATTAATGTTCAAGTAGCCTTAAACCTGCCAAAAGAAAATTAAGGATACTCAAGGTATTTATATATGCTTTAAAGATATTGAGTAGTGAATGGGCTGGTCTTAAGCTTAAAGGACCCTGTAGAAATAGTTGATACTTTCAAATATAAAAGCTTCAAATTTTTAAACAAAATCCAGATCCCCTCCCACAAACTCACACATCTATTTAAAAGGTTTTAGATGACTCTATTACCTTAGGCTTTGGCATTAGTCTCTTAAATGTATATCAGCCTGGGAAATTAGAGAAGCTCTAAAGTAAAAGTCAACCTCACCTGAAGCTGTTACATAGCAGTAGAATTACAATTTAAAGTGCTTTCTTTCTACCTTTGAAATAGACCTTCTACAGACTATAAACAAACAAAATCTATTAATTTCTATTACTGACTTACTAATTCTATTACTGACTTTTCAAAAAATTAAGTACATCTCAAATATCATTACTAACGATCACATTTTCTTTCTGTTTCAAGTATAAGCATAAACTAGACTTAAAGGGACTATAATGGACCAGGAAGGAAACAACCTTTAAGTATCTTTGACATTAAAAGGCTCTAGCTTTCAGGCTTGAAAGACTGCTGTAAATGATGCACTGAAGAGATAACAAATCAAGTCTCCTTCCTCCTTTTTATAAAAACCTTAGTTAAAAAGGTATTTGCCTATTACTGGTCTTAATGCCCAGGGTTCCCTAAGAGAAAATTCCCCATTTTTTTTAAGCTCCAAGAGGAAATAAAGTAGTAATCTAGATTTAAAAAGAAAGCAAGTAAATCAGAAATGATATACAGTTTACCATTCATTCACAGAAAGTAGAAAAGTTTGCCAGATGGTCACAGAAATTAGAAGAAAATGCTTTTTGAGCTTACTTCTGTTTAGATAACTGTAACTTCCCTAGGTTTTCGTTTTACACTCTCTAGTCGTGCTAGAGGGCGGAAATTTATTGACTTCCTGCTTCCTTCTGTAGTAGTTAATCGACAGTCCTTCTGCAGCCCCCTCAGCAGCTCCATTAATTCCCGCTTTTCCAGCTCTGCCTGCTCCAGCTCTTGACGGTGCTGTCTCTCTGCAGCCATCAGAGAGCGTACATCTGACATCATTCGTGACATCTGACTCTGAAATGCAAATATAAATTTACTGCAAGAAACAAACTCTTTTCTAATGATGGTGATGTGAAGTTGAATTGGCCATGCATGTAGGGTGATGGATTATAAAGAATAAGCAACAATGAAATAATTTTTTGATAGCAGAACAAATGTCAACAAGTTGAGACACAATCCAGCATTCACCCTCTGAGATGGTCTTGTTTCAAAGATTCCAATACAGTTTTCCTAAAAGTGCAAAAAGTTTCTTATAAAGTATAATAAGAAACAGTGGATTTATCCAGATGCTGCTTAACTTTTGTATTTCAAGACCCCAACCAAAATAAGGTTTTGGTTACGCTCAGATACATTCTCCAAGGGTTTAACATCAAACGCAGTAAAAATAAAAATGTAAATTATAAAGCACATCCATTTCTGTGATATAGTAAGAACTGGGTAAATGAAAAGATAAGACAGCCTTGCTCGTTACTTGACTAAGTTCACAGTGCAACTTTCCAACCTTTTGACCACAGCTGAACCACAGTGTAAATACCACTGTCTGCAGCAGGGCTCTGTGTCAGCACTGGATTAAGCCACTTTGGACAGCACTAAAAAAGGAGCTGGATATTTAATTACATCTGTTTTGTGATGTATGCCCTATGTTTAGATACTGAAAATGAGTTTCAGACTGATTTGCCGACATGTTATGTATGCACAGAACAATGCAGCCCTGGCACAGGTTAGCTCCAAATGAATTTGAAGTAGAAAAACCACACAAATACAGCACTCGGCCTTCTTCTCAATAGAGCTGGTAAGCATTGTTGCTAACAACTGTTTGGCTTCCCATACTTAATGTAATTCTCATCTGTATGAGACTACATTTACAAAATAGGAGACTACTACTGGGAAAAGCAAAAAGCTAGACTGCTAGGAGAGAAAAAAAAAAAAGAAAAGAAAATGATCGTATTTACCTTTAGTTCTTCGATTTCATTTTGCAGAATACTCTCTTTTTGGACCATATGCCTTCTCTGTGAATCTAACCTTGACTCCATCTCATGTTTTGCCTCCTCCACTCTGCAAATCATTTCTGACCTAAAAAGTTTATTTCTCCTTGTTAGATCTTGTAAGCATGGAAAAAAATTATTTTCAAATTCCAGAAAGCCTTCTTGCAGCCAAACAGCCCGATCCGATTCCCATCATACTCTACAGGACACCTCTCTGGAGGCATGATAGTACTATTTATTAATTTAAATAAAACTACCATAAAAAAGTGCATCCAGGGGGCACTAAAGTGACCACAGACAGCCTATATAGGGGACAACTATAACATATTCCTGAAAAAATTCTATGAGCTCAAGATCATGTATTTATGACTTTAAATGATTTACTGTCTTTTACTTATAGTATATGCTTGCTTAGCATTACTAAGCACAGGTAGTCAAGATAAAAAGTGTGAATAGTATTGCTAAACAGGTACTTTTATGGTGGACACTACATGATAGTATGCAGTAAATTATTATAACCTAATCACTCACACAGATTCACAGTCAAAACCTAGCTGTTACTACACTAGCCTTTTGAGTTCAGAAACTAGGTAGCAGAATCCCTTGTGTCTCAATGCATTTAAAACAGATTTGAGACTGACTTCACAGCAATGTTCAACACCACAAGACTTGGACAACGAGTTGAAAGATAGAAACAGGCAAGAGCATGGAAAAAACCAGTCCAACTGGAACATCATGGAAAGGAAACGCTACAGAAACACATAGAGGAGGAAAAAGAGGATGCTGGTAAGAAGAGTCATATTCACCAACTGTCATTAAACTACCAGGATTTTAATCAAAATTGAAAATTAGATCCTCCCAGGTTTAATCTACCAGTCTGTACCTGCCAAAATAATTAGAGATTTTTATCTTCAGGATTTGTAAAAAAATATAATCTAAACATAATTATTAAATAATGTGACTTTGGGGCTATGTCAAGCCAATGGAAAAATGAAACTGCCAACTTCATTACAGTTCTTGTTAGGTATTTTGTCATTTTACACAGTCAGCTTGCTGTTCAACTGCAAGCAAAGGTATTTTAGGTTTTACGGTAACTTGGACAAAAAACATAACAGCAAAAAAATCAGAACAGTAAGAATTTAAAATCTATGCTGACACGTAATAATACGCTGGCCCATTAGGATCAAGTAATTAACAGACTATTTAACACATACCGGAATCCAGTGCTAGTATTTGAAGCGCTTTATGCAGTGATTTTAGGCCCAGACTAACACAAAAATCAAAGAAACAGAAGATTTGTACCGAAGTAGTTCTAGCTCGGTTCTTAGCTCTGCTACACAATTGTGCTGTGTGTCTTCTGCACTGAGAATGGTGTAACCACAACCATTGGGGCATTCACGGCTCCGATATTCACACACTGCCAGGTGACCATCTAAGTTACGTCGTTCAATCTGAACTGTACAACCTGAACAGGGAACAGTAAGGCAAGCCAATCATTTACAACTAACAAAAGCATTTTAATTAATTCCAAACAAAAACACTCAGGCAAGCAAGCTGCAATATCCTGAGCTAAGCAACTGTCAATCTGTCAAAGCAATGAAAAAAGTGATTTCTTTAGAACATGAAGTGTGATAGTTATAACACACATAACTATAATAAAACACTCCTAAGAAGTCTTATTAGAATATTTATCAATTAACTGAAAATACTGAAAAACTGAAGGTAGGTATTTTCTGTAAAGTCTTCTACCACTGGTCTAGCATTAAAGCAACTTCAGTAATGGCAACACTGATGCCAAGCTAAGACTCTAGCAGCTTGCCTGCACTTCCACCATAGATTGCAGTGACTGGAATTGAAGAAGAATGCACATGTGTAAAAAAAATTAGGTTATCAAATTTAGGAAAAAAGGTCCAAAGACACATAGTAAGAGAGATGTGGGTGAGATGGAATTTAATTTTGGTTGGTCTTGTGTGTAACATACTAAACCACATAAATAAACAAGAACATTTATTTACGAACATTTAATAACTAATGCAAAAATAGAAACATTTCCACATAAATTCTAGGATACAAACTTTACAAATCCGTAGTGATTAAAAGTAAAATGTAGAGAACCAAAAATGAACACAATATAAATTGTTGCTACATTTAACACTCTAAACTTGAAGTTTGTAGTCTTAACGTTTAATCTTTGAGGCGCTGTTTGCTGTAATACATACTATAGCTCCTTCCATTTAATTTGAAGATAAAATAGATCTAAGAAAACGAAACAATGGAGCAATGAAACTTGCCAACAAACCATACCAGAAAATTACACAAGACAGCCCTCTAGAAGAGCTTTACTAATAAATATAATGATTTGTAATTGAGGTACTCAAAATACACTCCAATGTATTCTTGAGGAAGAGTTCAAGAGATGTAAGAGCCCTCACACCTTATCAGAGATAAGTGTGGTAACCCTATAAATGCTACTGTTTCCATAGAAAGTAAAACAGGTGAATCTGAAGCATCTGCAGGAGTCACTGCCGAGAGAAATTATAACTTCCAGTGGAGCAATTCTAGCACCTTAATCTTCTTATTATTAATTACAATGGCAGACTTGAGTATGCCCTTAGCATCATTAATTAGAAATTGACTTTGTCTAGGAACATACGATATTTTGAATAAAGTCGACTGGGAAGTGTTAATAGTATGTTTCTTCTTAGCAGTTATGTTTCTTCCTCAGGAAGTGTAGGTTTGTTTTAAATAAAGATCTTAACATGAACACAACAATGCTAAACAGAATTTAGCTTCAAACAATTCTCATTTCCAAGATACATTTTTGTTAAAACCATGAGACAGAGTGAGCAGCTGCACATGCACCAGGCAATCAGCTGTTTTATAAATAAATTGTGATCCATAAGCGTTCTGTAGGTGCTATTACAAACATCAAAACGAACAATCAGAATTGAAATAACTTGACGGAAAGTAAAACAAATGCATTACTATATTTTCATAAATTTGAAGCCCATCCTTCTCATTCATTTTGGTTAGTTTCTTAGTTTTTTGGTAAGTTCTTTGGTTAAGAAATTGTTGCTAGTGATCATGATTGCCATAAATGGGTAACAAATTTTGTTCAAAAAGACTGCTGTAAAGAGTAGATCATGCTAAAGCTTTGAATTTCCGTTTGGAAATAACAGCCATTATTGCCATTCTGTTGACAGAAAGATGACAAACACATGTTTTCTAAATATAAAGGATTCAACAACTTTGAATGTTACTCACCGGCATTGGAGCAAGGTATCTGACTGTATTCACACTCCCTTTCATGCCTGTCTATAGACTCCAGAGAACAAACCATTTCACAGCCATACTCTCTGTTTTTGCAATGTAGTTGAAGACGGTTTAAATCATTTTTCATATACCTACATGGGGGAAAAAAAAAATTGAAAACCATTATTGAAAAATTTCTATTTTCAACTTTTGGGAAAAGAAAGTAAGATTCTAATTTCGTTTAGGAAATTCCTAATTCCTAATTTCCATTAGAAAAACTTGTGGATAATCAGTTTAATTTTTTTTTTCTTAGCATTCAAGTGACCACATTGGCAAAGAACAGTCTTAAAAGAAAAAATGTTAAAGGAAAATTCAGTCTCCAAAATTAAATGTGCAAATGAATTCTTTATTTTTGAACAATTTTTTAATTGTCATCTTTCACTAGCTCAGCAGATATTACCAATAACAAACACGTAGGCTACTCATTCATCATTTAAGTTTTAATTTGTGTGTATAACCATGCCAAATCAAACTGACTACAGGAGTACAGAAAAAACAATCTATAAATTAAACTCCAGGGCTCTGTCTACACTATACTTCAATTTTCCATACAGTAAAATCTCCTTAGTGACAAAAATACTGGGAGTACTAATGGAGTTAATTTAACACCTGTGCCTAAAGGCTTTTAACACAACATAACTGTTAATCTGAGCAAGATTAGACAATGCGGGGGTTAAACAGCAAGCAGTGTCTACTGATGAAACTCTGTGTGCTGGCAATAGCAGGAA